GAGAGACAGTATACTTGAGTGGAGTGCCATGGGGGCTGATCAGCACTAATCCTATGCCACCGCCCTCACTTATGGAGGACCCATCAACATACAGCTTCCAGCATAGTACAGTAGACGAAGGAGTGGATAGCGAGGGTGCTGAGGGCTGATGTGGAGTAGGTACAAGAGGTGGAGGCTTCTAGCCTCAGGGTCTAGTCTTCTGGAACCTGAGGGTTTGTCTCCAGGTCGTCAGGCTTTCTGGGGATAATGACTGGGCTTGCCTCATGACTGTCCTCAGCTGGTACTGTACATCGAACTCACTCAACTCAACGGCCCATTTAAGTAGTTGGCTGAACACATTAGGATTTTCTAAAATTCTCTTAAGGGGTTGATCTGTAATAACCACGATGGTATGGCTCTGAAAGTAATAACGTACGTGTCTGGCAGCGGTGACAAGTGCGAGAGCCAATTTCTCAAGCTCTGAGTATCTTACCTCCGTACCTCGGTATGCCCAACTTACATAGTATACAGGCTTTTGGACGCCTCTATCCTCCCTAACAAGGACAGAGCTCACTACAGAGGATGAGGAGAAAAGGTAAATATACAAGGTCTCTCCTAGTACAACAAGGGAGCAGCAAAGGGGTGTAACGAGGTAGGTTTTTAACTTCTGGAAGGTCACCTCTGCATTTGGTCCCCACTGAAAAGATTTGCGGAGGATTGTGAAGAAAGGCATACACTTGTCCACCTACTTTGAGACAAACCTGTTGAAAGTTGTTATCTTCCTGTTAAAACGTTGGATCTCCTTCATAGAGGCTAGGGACTTTATGTCCAAGATAGCTCTAATCTTGTATGAGTTAGCCTTAATGCCCCTTTTATTGACCATAAAACCTAAGAATTTTCTTGAACTAATGCCAAAGGCACATTTTTCAAGATTTAGCTTCATCCTATAGGCTCTTAGTACATCAAAGGTCTCTTAGAAGTGTGTCACATGGTCTGTCGCGGCCATACTCTTCATCAACATATCGTCCACATAGAATTCCATGGTCTTCTCAATCTAAGCCTCGAACATTTGTTCACGAGGCGTTAATATGTGGCTCTGGTGTTCTTGAGTCCAAAGGACATCACTATGTAGCGGTAGGTGCCGTTCGGGGTGATGAATGAGGTTTTCTGCTGGTCTGGAGAGAACATTCTAATCTGGTTGTACCCGGAGTAAGCATTCAAAAAACTTAGGAGCATGTGTCTCACAGTGGCATCAATAAGGAGATCGATGCATGAGAGATGATAGTTGTCTTTGGGACAGACTTTATTAATCTCCGTGAAATCCATAAAGAGGCACCACTTTCCATTGGCCTTCGTAAGCATCACTATGTTTGATAGCCAATTTGGGTAGGCTACCTCCTTTACTGACCCATTTTTCAATAGTTTTTCCAATTCCTTTTCCATAACTTGGCCTCTCTCAACACTCATATTCCTTAGCTTCTGGCAGACGGGTTTGTACATGGGATCAACATTAAGTTGGTGGGAGGCCATTTCGGGGTTGATGCTCTCCAGGTATTTGTGGGACCAAGTGAAGACATTCATGTTCCGCCTGAAGAAGTCTACCAAATTGGATGCTTGCTCCTGAAAAAGTGAGGAGCCAATATAAATTCTCCTCTCAGAAAGGCTTTCATCCAGCTCTATTGGCTGAAGTTCTTCTACTGGTTCTCCTCTCTCCAAGGTAATGTCATCCCGAGGGTCTGATATTTTGACTTGGAGGGTTTCTTATGGCCTTCAGGCCCTCATAGAGGCCACGTAGCATTCCCGAGTACAGACCTGGTCTCCTTTGATTTCTCCAATCCCACTAGTGGTTGGGAAATAGAGGAGCACGTGGTAGGTGGACAACACTTTCCTTAAGGCGTTGAGGGCAGGGTGTCTAAGAATAATATTGAAGGCAGAGGGACAGTCTAGTACAATAAAGTTCACCATGATGGTGAAACTTCTTAGTGTTGTCCTTGCTGTGACTGACAAAGTGATGGAACCCAAGGGGTAAACCCTTTCCCCCGATAAGCCAACAAGGGGAGTCCTGACGAGTTGCAATCTTTCTCTCTACTAAGGTGAAGGCTGTCAAAGGCTAGTATAAATAGGATATCGGTTGAGCTGCCGCTGTCAACTAGAATTCTCTTAACCTGATAGTTGGCTACCATCATGGCTAAGACTACAGAATCATTGTGAGGGGCTTGGATTCCCTCGAGGTCCTTGTCCAAGAAGATGATGATCTCCTCGTCCCTGTGCCAGGGTGTCTTTGTTGGGCGAGAGTCTTGTGACTCTACCTGCCTGACTTTCATGGTGTGTGCTTTCCTAGCAGAGTTGGAGTTACCTCCTTCTTTTAACCCTTCAGAGATTATCTAGATTTCTCCAAGGGGTTGCTAGCGCTCTCGATCCTCCTGATTCCTACCCAAAGATGGGGCCTATCCTCAGCCAGCCACATACTGTTGTAACAAACCACGCTGAATATTCTCTTCGATCTGCCTTTTTTAACTCAAATTAGTTGTCAATGTCATGGCCATGGTCACAGTGGAAGCGACAATAATTACTTGGATTTCTTCCGTTCGAGGCAAACTTCATTTTTTTAGGCTAGCAAAACGTAGGATCGTCTTGTATCAAGAACATGAAGTGCTCCACCGAGGCATTGAGCGGCATGAAAGCCTGTCGTTCTCTCTGGGGTGTGGGACAGAGACTCTCTTTGTCCTCTTTCTCTTGTTCTCTGCCTCTTGCTTGTCCTTGCGGGTAGGGGTGTTCACCTTACCCTACAGATAGGAAATATAATTTTATGTCTTCCTACCCAATACTTTGTGAAAAAAAAATTTCTTGACCTACCCTACCCAATCAAGTGTAGTATTCCTACCTGATTTTTGGTCAAATTAATCGAGTAAAAAATTGGTAAACACTTTTATATTTATTAATTTTTGAATTATTTTAACAATTCAATTAACTAACATTCACCAATTTAATAACACTAAAATCTAAAACAATTACAACAACAATTACAATAAAACACAAGAAATCATAAACATCAATGCATCATAATTGTTGCACAAATATAATAACAATTATTTTAAGTTCAAACCATCTAGTTAGAGATATTAATACGGGTAGGGTAAGGTAGGAATACTAAAATTAATGGTTATTCTGCATTTCTACCCAATTTAATTGAAAGACCAAAAACTCTTCTGCACTCTTATCTGATTTTTTCGGTTAGCCGTTCAATAGGGTCGAGTAGGGTAGAAAATTGAGGCTAATCAGAAATTTGAACACCCCTACTCAAGGGTGTCCTTCCTTTTCCATCCTCCTTGAGAGGACTCACCTCGTCTGGCATTGGTGACGTCCTCTACATTCATGTACTTTTGTGTCATTGACAGTAGCTCAAGCATGCTAGAGGGCGGCTTCTTCAGGACAAAAAATATGAAACTAGAGGAGCGCAGACTTGCAATAAAAGACAGTCATGGTTATCTTATCATATGTCTCCTCGATTTGGAGAGCCCCCTCATTAAAACGAGTCAAGTAGCTCCTAAGGCCTTCATCCTGGTCCTGCTTGATGGTGAGCAATTGGGTAACAGGCTTCTAATGTCAGCGTCCCCTAATGAAGTAAGATTTGCTCAACTCTGCGAATGAGTGAATAGAAGAGAGTTTGATCTTCGCAAACAATTGTCAAGCAGACCCCTTCAAGGTGGTGGGGAAGACTCTACACATGATCTAATCAAGCATGTTGTAGAGTTGCATGAGAGATTTGTATGTGTCAAGATGATCTAGAGGGTCCTTGGTACCATCAAAGATCTCGATGACAGACATCTTGAATTTTGAGGGTAGGGGTAATTGACAACATCCGCAACAAACGGTGTATCCATGCGCCTTACCAAATAATCCACCATCTCCAGTGCCTATGCTTTAATGGCTTTGAGGGCATCGCCAAGCTTGTTTTACACTTCCTTGATCTTCTCATCCCCTTAGTTGGGGATATTCCCCGTTAGATCATTGTAGTGGCTTTCATGATCAATATACTGGTTCTCTCCATCATCCTCCTGCCTAAGATAGTTGGTAGCATGTGGAGCAGGTACATGAGGAGGGGGAACATGTGAGGCACCTGTATGCTGAGGAGGGACTCCCTGGCGAGGGGTGCCCTGGCTCTGCATGGGGATGCCTTGGCGCTGGGGGGCGCCTTAGAGCCCAAAGTAGAGAAGTTGTGGTACTTCTCCTATTGAAGAGAGTGGTGTTCCTCCTATAGGATGAGGGTCGATGCCTCCCGAGGCGAGCATAAACTAAATAATATACTGGTTTTGGTTTACCAACAACTGCATGATCTCTAAAAGCTATTGCCCGACTATGGGAGTTGCACAGTGGATGATTCTGCAGATACAGGCAGAGGCAGAGCCTGAGCCTTTTCTTGGCGTGTTAGGTTGTTGTCCTCTGGTTGTTGATTCATCGACCTGGTCGTGATTGCTATGGATTTGAAAGATAGTAGCAAGTTAATAAAAAACTCAGTCGTTTCTCACAGACGGTGTCAAACTGATGATACACAAAACAGGCTTATGCACAATCAACAGTCGAGTATGTGATTTCGGGTAATTAATGAGACAATCAATAAGCAATTAATAGTAAAAGATAAATACTGAGTCAACACACAGATATATAGTAGTTCGGTTAAGGTGATTTACTCAACTTTAAAGATAACAACGGTAGCCAATGTTCTTTATTGATGAAGTAGTAGGTGAGAGAGAGAGAGAGAGAGCGAACAAAGATGAGCTCTGGGAGAGATATGATAACTAAGAGAGAGAAATAGCTATGAGAGGGGTGTGTAGAGAGATCTAGAGATGTTCCTCTCATATAGAGAGAGCTTACATTTATAGGCACAAAACTTTGGTTAAGACGATGACGTGAGGGTAAAGATACTAGTTCTATGGGGAGGATAACTACAATTAAGGATATGTACAATTAAAGATATCCTTGATATTTGAGAGTGACTATCTCGATAATTACTCTCCACTTACGCTAATCTTCTTGGACTCCTTGAACTCTAGTATAGGCCGAATCCATGAACTAAGTTTGAACTGCCATGTAACAAATTTGGGCTTATTTAATTACTTGGGTCTGACCCAATCGAATCGGGGCTCATCAACTCCAACTGACCAAGTGTGACTTCAGCATGATCTCTCCTAGTTGTTAACCCCTCGAAGTTAAACACCGCTTCCAGTTCGCAACAATCATCGACATGAAGGAATTCAAGATTTGGAAATAGTTTTTGCTGACCAGGTGCAACAACATTGAAAACCTTTTCACAATACGACACATCCAAGCCTCTTGGTTTGTGGAAGGACCATCCTTGCATTTGGTAGTCTACTATGTGCACCACACTGATTCGTTGGAGATATAGTTTCTCCAAGTTAGGCAGAAAAACCTGCGATTATTTAAAGTTTTGAAGTAAGTGATCATGATAAACTGTATGTATGTCCAATAGCACTTAACTACACATAGCACAGAACAAAAAAAGGAGCTTCATTCAATAAAACTTCAACATATATCAAACCCTCTACATGTTGCGGACAAGTTGCACTTTAGGGTAGCATTTTTCAATTAAATTTTGACAAATGATATTTGAAAATAAGTCTTTTTAATTTATTTAATTTTCACTCACGATCTTCTGAATTTTTATCCTGACTAACTTTTACCAAACCCTCTAATTTTCCATTTCTTTTTGTTTTTTATTTTTAGTATCTTCAATATTCATAAAAAAACCATGTTGAAGTAAATGATTTTTAGCTTTGGCAAAAATATCAACTTTTAAGGAGGGTCAATAAGATTAAACAAAAGTACTGATCAATATAAAAATGTAAACCACTTTCATAGGTAACTATGCAATCCTCTTTAATATGATTGGAATCTAATTCCAAAACAATAATTGGATGCTAAAGGCATATTTGGATTAAAAATTTTAACCCAACAAAGGGTTGTTTAAACTAGAGTCGATTACATGAATTCTATTTCGTCTTTGTGCTATATTAATTATCATATTTTTCTTTTGAACCACATGCTATCATGGTTGTTTGTGTTAAACTTGTTTCTCCTATGATGTCCTATTGAGGGGCACTAACATTTGTAAAATTATAACTTATCAAATACGTGTTAATATTTGAATTCCCTTCAATTAATTGTATCATCAATATTGTCTTTCTAATCATAAAAAACAAAAAACAAAAAACCATCAATCACTTGTTTTAGTACTATTTGGTGTTTTGAAATTTTTGTTAATAACCAGTGGCGGAGCCAAAAATATGTTAAAAGGTGGGCACACTCTAACTATTTGTCCTCTAATAAGTAAAAATAATGTGATACATTTTATTTTTTTACATCATACTTGATACTTAAAGATTGATTAAACATAGAAGTACCAAAAGTAAGTATACAATATCTATGCAAACAAAAAAAAATTACAAAAAAGAGGTTAATTATAGCCGTTTACAAAAAAATGAGGTTAAGTATATAAGGGATGTGATGAAAATATCAATATCAAAGTCATAACTTGTAATATCAATACCAAAATTTGAAGGCTACGGCGCGTGATACTTCATTGATTACTGGGGCTTTGTTTGCTTTAATGCTTTTGGGCAGAACTTGAGAATAGAGTGGGCCAAACTTTTTTATTATAAATTTCTTTTTTTTTATTATTGACTCCAAGAGATTGTTCTCCCAAGGGACCCAATTTTATTTATTTATTTAAAGATATCAGGGTGGGCACAATTGAAGATATTAAAAAAAATATACAAGACATACATAGGTAAAAAATAATAATAATAAGGTGGGCCTGGGCCCCCTGGCCCATGTGTGCCTTGCCACTGTTAACAACATTTTAATAATTAAATAAATTCTCTTTTTCAAAAAACTTAGTCGCCACAGCATTTTACGATCAACATAAAAAAAAAAAAAAAAAGTTAGGTGACATACCTCAAGGGTAATTGACTATTTTTTTTTCACAAGAAGCATATATAATATCTATTGCTAGTCACATGTTTGTAATACCATTTTATAACAAATAAATTAACATTTCTAACAAATGCAATATGATATGCATAAGTATATTTATTGTTCCATTCTAACAACTAATTCTATAAAAAAAATTAAGAATTTTGATTAAGTACTAACGCAATAGAATTCGTAATAATCTCCAAAGAACCAAGTAGGTTCGTTAAAAAAAATAACTTGGAAGTGGGGGAGAGTATGTGTGTACGTTTGTAGTTTTTTTTTTAAAAGAGGGAGAGTGTCTATTGTTTATAGAGCAATGTTATTGGGAGTTAATTTATTAACATAATTTGTTGATCAAATTCACTATGACTTTTGGATTTACTGTAGACCCCATCAAACATTAGAATTTGGTATTAATCCAATGATTCTTATGAAGTTACATCATTATGTCAGCAAATTAAGTCAAATTTTTAGGTTCAAATAGTATTAATTTTGTTTATAAAGAGAAATAAAGAGAGTGAGAGATAACAGAGATGACGTAATGATGGTGAATTGCAAAATCCCAATTTAGAGAAACTATTTTTGTGTGGTGGTGAAATTCCTTCGCCCACTAGAATTTCTTACTTTCTATTGCTTTCTTTAATCATAAATGCATTACAAGTATCAGCAAGTTAAGGTATTCATTTCTAAAGTATCCTTCATCTTTAACAAAAAACCTTTTCCCTAAATTATTTGTTTTTTCACAGATGAAAATAAATTTGTTTATTCTTGCCTTCTCACAAACATGTTCATTTCTAAGTTGTTTCCCACTAAAGGCTGAGGTGTGATGTGTACAAACAAATCAAAATAAAGTAAAAACATGTCAGTGTTGTGTTAAAGTAATTTTGGAGATATATTCAAGAAAGAGAAGCACACCTGTTTGGGGAACAAAATATCAGAGTTGGAGCAAAAGCTTCTAAGCATGTCCAGATCTTCCAAACGCAAGTACTTCAGTTTTGGGAAAACGATGGTTTTAGAATCTTTTTCATCTTCTCCTCCTTCCTTTGCAACAATGTATTCCACTTTCTTACACCGAAATAGATGTAGTTCTTGGAGTTGCACCAAACATTTGACCATGGACTCTGGAAATAGACCCTTCATTGCAGGTAGGTACTCTAGCTTCAACATTTGCAGTTTTCCAAAGGCAAAGGTCTCCGCCGGAATATCCCTACAAATAAGATATTCGAGCTCATCACAATGAGAAACACTTAGTTCCTCCCAGCTTACCGAATCATCTACATCAAGGGCATCGAAAATATTACTTCCCAAGCCTTTTAGTCTGTCAAACGAGACATGTTTGGAGCTTTTCAGCAAAATTTTATCCCAAAATCATAAAGCATACCCAGGTCACAACCATAGAGACTCAACTGTTTTGTAACCTGTAGCCTTCCGACCGACCGAAGCCAAGTCCAATGGAATTCCACATGAAAAAGTTTTCCACCCGACGGACTGGGAAAAGAGAACCAATTATTAAGCAAAATCTTCTCAGGTTATCAAAACGAAAGTGTTTCAATTTTAGCACAGCAGTTACACTTGTGCGAATATCTAAAGTGTTCAGATAAGACATTGAGTTCAACTTTGCAATGCTAGAATTCTTGTCATTTTCTGTTTGATGAAATAGAAAACTGCCTACATACAACTCTTCAAGTTTATCCAGCTTGGACAAAAGATCCGGTGAAATGCTTTCAGGGCGTTCCACAAACCTCAAATCCAATATTTGTAGATGCTCAAGTTGTCCAATTTCACTCGGTAATTCCCAATGCAAGATTGAAAAAAGCTGAGAATTCTCAAGCTCTTTAGGCTTCCAATCATGGAGATGTGTTAGTGTCCACCCGGCAAAAATCCAAACACAATGTTCGAATATTTTGCAAAGATTTGAGTGGTTGTGGTGGAAGCAGAAGGAACATTGATCTTAAATCAACAACTTTGAGTTCTTTCATCCCTACAAAAAAATCTATTGAGTCAACTCTGGTGCAACTCTCATTAGTACAGTCGTATCGTGGATCAAACTTGCATTCCACCTGTAAAAGCTTGAGGTTCGGACAATCTAATCCAATAGGAAACTTGTCCAATTGGTCGAACATCAATGAATGGCTGAGTAATGTTTGAATGTATCTTCTTGTGGCCACTCTTTCAGTCCTGCATCACACCTTACCAAATATGCTTCCCTACCTTTAGATGCAATTGATATGCATACATCGCGTACAACATCATGTAATTTCACTTTCTCTTTATCACAGGGGAGTATCAAGTAACGACTTTTGAGTTGATCGTTTAATGAGTACACCGTGTCTCTTGCTTCTGCCACAGTATCAATTTTTTCAAACAAACATAGTCCTACCACATATCTAACCAAACACTCAAGAGGAATATCAGAATCTTCCGGAAATAAACTGTAAAGTCGAAGCAATGACTTGGCTTCTTCTTTGTTCAACAGATTGTAGCTCAACTCTATACTGGTTTGAACCTTTTCTGGCAGTCTATTACACCTCTGTAGTTCTCGAAGTGCATTATTCCACGAATGCTCCTTTTCACTTTTCAGTGCCTCGGCGAGAGTTACAATTGCAAGAGGTAACCTCCACATTCATTTGCAACCTCTTTTGCTATGGACTGTGGCTCAGGGATGTTATTGGTAATTCCCGTCACTTCTTAAAAAAATTCCATGCTTCGTCTTTAGGTAGGACTTGGACTACAATGTTTTTTGAGATCCCATCTCAATACAAACACGTTCGTTTCGAGAAGTCAATACAATTGTGCACCCTTTTTGGCCACCTCCAAAACAAATTCCAAGTTTTTTCAAATCAATTTTTCCCAAACATCATCTAATATTACAAGAATTCTTTTGCCATTTGACAATCTTGTACAAAGTTTGTCTGCTCTTGCACGAAGGCTGGTTTCCTTCTCAAGGCTCAAACCCAACATGTTTGCTATGTCACCTTGAAATTTTATCAAGTCTTGATTGTTGGACACAGTAGCCATGGTAACCTCATCAAATAATCTCTCAATCTGTGCTCTTTTGGCAACTTCTACCATCATGTTGTTTTACCTACTCCACCCATACCACATATCCCAATCATTCTGATCTCACCATCCTTCAAAGCCTCCATAACTTCATTTGTAGTTGACATCCTGGATTCAAAGCCTTCGAAATCTTCTGTTGATATAGAAGCCATTTGCAGGGGTGGCAGGGTATGCAATTTAGTGTACTTGTCCCCTCTTGTTTGAGTTTATAGATATCCCGAGTCTTTTCGTGACTTTCCTACTTAGCGAGTAACGAGATACCAGATTCGGGCACCATCCATTC